ATAGAAAAATATGTCTCGGGGCTACTGTCACCAAATTTAGCGTTAAAAGGCACTAATGTTTGCAGCGTTTTTCCACTCAGTTACAACAAAAGACCCCGAACTTAGCCCGGAGCTCTTAACTTCGAATTTATCCCACACTGAGTTTTTCAATGGACCTTTGACACCTTTTCAGCTTGGACTGTTTGTCGCCCCATTTTTAACCATGTGGTGATACTCTTGAGAATTCAAATTTTCAAATAGTCGCGTTTAAATGAAAGAATATAATTTTTAGGTAGATAAAAGAACAGCTCTCTAGAGAATATCACTTGGTCTGAAATGGAAAACAAAACCGCCCAAGCTAAACAGGTCTATTCTGCATAAAAGCTAGGTACAAAGCAATTTTGTGAATAATTTATATATGACTGTGCATTTGCAATGTGAAAACATCACTATTACAAAATTGAATTTTTGTGAAGAAGCTATTGTGGCTGACCTAAGTAACATTTATGGACCCCGTGCAGAGCAAGAATCAAAACATCGCTTTGATGATTGCATTCTGTTCAAACATATGGCGCTTCGTTGCAAGCTCCACTAATTCAATTCTGCTTAGCTTCTCCGCGTCATTGCTTTGGCCTTGAAACATAGCAATAGCTTCAAGCTATATTCAGGTATGGTTAGGCTCTGTGCTTAAAATTTAAAGTGCTCTTGAATTTCAAGCAGTCTCGAACTAGCCTTGTCTCACGACTATTGCTTCATCCCAAGTTAATAACCAATTGAACCGGTAGAGTATACAAGTTGAGAATTCTGCGAATTAAATATCAATTTTGATCGTATTTGCACTCCCACCTTTCAAATCGTGAAAGTCGACCGGTTTCTGAGAAAGCTTTGTTTGCATGACCAGCATATGAGTTTAAAATTGTTAAAAACACGCTAGAGGTCACTAAAGTAAACTCAAAGTGAAATTCACAAATTTTCCATCATGAATGGTCATAGTTTATCATTTATTTATTTTATAACCCTGCATCACATAAAGTACTTTCGCTTATAATAACAACAACCTCCACAAGTAGGTTATTAAATCTTCAAAGTTGCTATTGAAATTTCCAATCCTTCGATCGTTTCTACCTTTTGGGAAAGTTAAACAACAGTCACGGGAAATTTTTCCGCCAAACAAAACATTGCCGGGGTACATTCGACATGAAACTTAAGGGCATGATCGTCAGGCCTTAGGTGAATTTGGGTGCCCCGTGCAAGGTGTTAAATTTAATGGTGGGGCATTTGAACACCAATCATAGACCCCGCGAGAGAGGAAAATTTTAACCAAACCCGCGGAGAGGATGTTGAAGTCTCAAATAGCTTTGCTATCTCATGGACTGTGAGCTAGAAGACTTTTACCGTCAAACATGTCCAGACAGATAGTAAAATCTTCTTAATGTGGCTTTCACGCTATAACTGCCCACGGTTGAAAACCCCAGAAAATGGACAAAGCTAGAATACTCGCCCAAAGTGCAATTTGTCGTGTACGGCTTGATAAGCCATGGCATTAAGCATTTCTTTTAGCAAGGGCTAAACTAGATGCCTTCGCTCGCTGATCTTAGTCCTCAGCGAATTCCGAAAACGCTGCGAGCAGCTTCTTGACTGTATTCTGAAAACCTTTTTGCATATCAAAACTTTTCCGAGAGAAATCAGTACGAATTGTTGTAAATTCACTGCTTAACGATGTAATATATTCTCATTTCAGTAAAGTTATCGCAAAATTTCGTCAGGGATCTCTACAAAGCTACACGTAGTTTTGTGAAATCTTAGCTTCGAATACATTTTCCTCCCAAAAATATAACTGAACGGATGGAACCACCTGTAGGCTAATTGAACGAATATAGGAAAGAAGGAAGCAAGGAAGTAAACGGACTCCACAAGAAAAAAGGAACGAACACAAGAAACGCTCAAACTTGCTAAGACTCTGAATGGTAAAAACACAATGTAAAAGCCTGCAATGCAGGCGTATTTTGGCGCATTTTGAACGGGCCAGCGCCATTTTGGATTCAAAACTGAAAGGAGAAGGATTGAGGAGAGAGGAAGAACGCGTCGTGAGGTTGAAGAAGAAGGAGAAGAGAATGAAACAGGATTTGTTCGGGATTCGTCATTGGCTTGTGGTTTTGCCTTTATAAGAGTTGTTGCTAAAATTACGTGCCCATGACTTTCTCTAAGTTTGCGTCACCTTGATTCGCGCCAAGGTATCCTTTCGTGTGGTCAGCCCTCCATCAAAACCGGAATAAGCACTTGTTTTAAGTTATTTTTGTCGGCCCTTAAAGTCTTTTGGTTAACCTGTTATGCATAAAAAAATAGCCCCGAGCGGTGATGTTGGACTGCTTATGTTTATTAAGTCCACTTAATTATCGTTGAAACTGAGATTAATTTGCCTTCGCTGTATGATCGTTACGTTCCTCGACAGTGATTGGTCAACGGACTAGACCATTTATTCATTCTTGACACCATTCTGAATACGATAATTTCTCAAAGTCACGATTCGCAATCACAACCTTTTTTTAAGATTTCTGCAATGTTTTTGAATTCGTTTTCCTGTAAATGTATGTCGACGTTTTGTACAATGTCGTGTAGTGATTTATGTTCAAATTTTTTCTTTTCCAGCTATGAATCAAGTGCAAATTAAACTCGAATCCCTCCGATGTGGTTTTCATGGATTTCTCTAAAATTAACACCAAACAGAAGTAATGAAATTGGGCGAATATTGTTACCCTCGAAAGCGCTTCAAAAACGAATGGAATAGATTTCACTCTGAATGCAAATTACGCATCATATTTTGAGCGCATATCTCGTTCAAAAACTGATTTACGATCTTTTTATTGAGGAAAAACCCAAATAGAATATTTTAATCATTAAATGGCGAGAGGCAATGAAGTCCTTTGTTTGTCACCAGTTAGAGATCTGACGCATGTTTTGTGGGCGAATAAATTTTTCCGTGATTTATCCTTTCATTTTGATCCACTTTAAGAAGTTTGCCGACATTATAATTTGGATTAAAAACGTCAGTTTAATTTCAATATTGAAAACTCTATAACCAATATCTACCGTCATACCGAGCCAGTTGATATTTACTTCTGAAATTCATCTTAATAACTTCCATGTATTCATTTTGCGGTGACCATTTTTTCCGTTTATCGCACCTAAGGTTGGTCTCGAAATGAACCCATGGCCTAACTATCAAATCCGGAGGAAATTCCCATTTGTCAAAGGGAGGAACGCGGCCCGGAAGGATGGCTTGAACTCTGTTTTTCCACCAGTTAAATTATTTTAGGCAGTAAAGAAAAAATTAATTGACTTTCATTTCTGTTCTAAAGAAGTTCACCCATTGATTTCTTGGCATTTCAGCGGGGATTCAAAATCATTTTCGTAATGCTCTCCGCGGGAGTCTATCCAGGTATTTCTTCTTGAGCATTCAGACAAAACATTAGATATTGTACAACACAGTCATCGCCCAGTATCATCGTGTTTTCTAATACCCCTTTCACACAATCCGTGCGCTCCAGTGAGATACGCACGACCCTAATATAAATATTCAATTTTATTGCANAGTACTGCTCAATAGCTTTCATTTGAATGGTCATACACTGGGGTTTCATCCACCGGCGTAAAAGTTAGAACCACCTTGTACAGCATAATAAACAGCACCACGTGAAAGTGCCGCTCAATAGCTTTCATTTGAATGGTCACACACTAGGGTTTCATCCACAGATTTAAAAGTTAGAACCACCTTGTACAGAGTAGTAAACAGCACCACATGAAAGTACAGCTCAATAGCTCTCCTCTGAATGGTCACACACTAGGGTTTTATCCACAGACTTATAAGTTAGAACTACCTTGTACAGCATAATAAACAGCACCACATGAAAGTGCCGCTCAATAGCTTTCATTTGAATGGTCACACACTAGGGTTTCATCCACAGATTTAAAAGTTAGAACCACCTTGTACAGAGTAGTAAACAGCACCACATGAAAGTACAGCTCAATAGCTCTCCTCTGAATGGTCACACACTAGGGTTTTATCCACAGACTTATAAGTTAGAACTACCTTGTACAGCATAATAAACAGCGCCACATGAAAGTGCCGCTCAATAGCTTTCATTTGAATGGTCACACACTAAGGTTTCATCCACAAACTTATAAGTTAGAACCATCTTGTACAGCACATATAAACAGTACCACATGAAAGTACTGCTCAATATCGCCTTTATTTGAATGTGTACATACCACGGCTTTCATCCACGAACTTGGAAGGTTATAGAACTAACCGGATACAGCAATAAACAGCACGACGTGAAAGTACCGCACAGCAAGTTTCCATTTCTTTATTAAAACTGAATTTGTGGTGAAAAGAGGAAGACTTCTTCCCATCTAAGGTAGTAAACGAATAGACAGCCCGCGAAGATCTCTGAACTGACCAACATTTATTTACTCAATAGAATCATGTCCGTTTGTGACGGAAAACAACAAATGCTGCAAGCTGCCATTTAAGTTCAACAACCGAAACTACACTGAGTGTACCGCAGACGGGACAGTGGAAGACTGGAGCAAGCAATGGCGTCATCCATGGTGTTTCCCCGAAGACGGCAGCAGCATTAAGTATCCCTGCCGGCGGACCAGTGAGTTTGACGTTCTGTTGTAGCGATGGAGGGACGTTATTATCTGTCGTAAAATGAAACTAAAACCAATTTTTTCTGTACCAAAAATCGGCCAGCAAACAGGCATAATCGAACAACAACTCAAAGCAAAAAACAGGCAATCGGTGCCAAGCGCAGGCAAAATTTAGCCAGTGCCAACAAGCGCGGGAAAACACCCAGCCGGTGCCAAGCGAGGGAAAACATGCGACTACTCCGAGCGCGTGTTTTTCGTGTGACGCTCGTCGGGACTGCATGGTTTTGATTTTGCTCGTTTTGATTTGCTAGAGTACGCTGGGAAGGAAAGCAAACGAAAAGCCAAAATTTTTACACATTGCCTTGTTTTTCCATCGCAGGTTACAGCTGTGGCGGAATTCGCACGCAAGTGGCCGGAGTTATCTCTTCTTCAAACTTTCCTCGTGATTACAAAAGTAATACTACTTGTGTCTGGAAGATATCTGTTAACACGGCAAATCAGATCACGTTAAATTTCACCGACTTTGAGTTAGAAAATAGCAGCAGATGTGAGCGTGCGTACGTGCAGGTTTACGATGGTCCAAACACTACTGACCCATCCCTCGGGACATTCTGTGGCAGTGAGATTCCCCCAGGGGTAAGGTCAAGCGGAAATCATATGTTGGTTGTGTTCCAGGCGTATCGTGGAAATAACTTCAAAGGTTTTCGCGCTTATTATGATTCTGGTAAGTACTTGCGACGAATTTTTTTGCATTGCTGAAGGTTGATAACTGAAGAAATATACGTTTTATCACATGATGCCCATTTAGTAAACAGAGCCTTTAGATATACTTTTACCGCAGGACTGGAGTAAATTCCCGGGAGTAAATTGTAGTGAAGAGAAATCATTCTGTCAAAGCAATGGAAATTGAAAAACCAACGCCAATTTTGAAAAACAATGTTTTCCAATATGTGTAGCGTTCTAAAGAAATAAAGCATCATAAAACACACATTCAAATGGATTTCCACTTTATTAGACGACCGGGAGGGCTACAGATCCACCCCTAGACAAAAATCCTATTAACAGATCGGATATCCTATTATATTCTATATCCTATCCTATCCTATTTTTAGGAGACTGCAGAGTTCGTTCGTACGGAGGCAATGGCGATGGGGCCTGCTGTGTTTTCCCTTTCATTTACAAAGGAAAGCTGTATCACGAGTGTACTGAAGAGGACGCTGACAAAGATGCATGGAGCGACCGGTGGTGTTCTGTGACGGCCAATTATGACCGAGATAGGAAGAGAGGACATTGCGTCTCAGAGACTGGTGAATGAATTTTTCTCTCTTTCGCTCTCATTTCAGATTTTCCCAATAACTGAAGAATTGTATTAATTTTGTTGGAGGCGCGGTGATCTTATGCCGGTTAGTGTGCTGAGCGGCTGATTGAACGCTCTAAGAATGGACTCCAGGCGAGGATCGTTTCGAGGCTAAACACTTCTCTATAACATTGTCTCCTTCCAGTCAGTGTAAGACTGGGTAGCGGCGGGAGGGAAGCGGGAGGGCTAACACTGTGATGGATTAGAATCACGCCTCGGGGAACTAGAAATGCTTCTATAGCTACTTCTACCTTAATTTCAGTAGGAATGAGCAAAAAAACTCATAAGATGCGCGACACTGCTGATAAATTAGATCTAAGGCTCCAAAGGCTCTTAAAAGTGTCAAATACTTTTACCTTAGCCTGCGAACACAGACGGATTTCAGGCTTTTGTTTCGGCGGCGTGAGACAAAAGCCGGAATTCTGTCTGTGTTTGCAGGCTCCTTCTACCTAATTAACTGGAGATAAATGAGCATGACCATGAGCCACTAGCCGAGGACACAGGCAGTGTCACAATGTAAGAGTTTAATGGTAGAATTTGTACCTTTACAGAGAATAATTAAAATGGCTTTTCTCTGTAAATATTTTAGTCTCCTGTGGTCCAAACAAGTTTGAATGCAAGAATTATCACTGGTGGAAGCAATGCCTTGAAGACAAACACCGTTGCGATGGCTTATCACACTGTGCCGATCAATCTGACGAAACAGATTGTCGTAAGTTATATATACATTGTTATTCTGTTACAATAGCAGTTTCATTCATAATTAGATCGTAAAACCCTAATTATATTGGGTAATCACATCTAGGCAATGGTAGTAAATGGCCAAAGTGGAATGAACCAATCAAATTTATTAGCGAAAACATGCAACGTCTTCCTGGTAACAAGCGAAGAATAAACGCACGTAAGGAAAGTCACGAGTTAGTTGGTTCTGTTCATTTTTGAGTTGTTAGAGTGTTCGTGGTTAGTCCATGGATGAGATAATTTCGCCCCGAGGAGGGGGGGACTTCCATGTGAAAAGGTCAGGATTCTCGTCGGAAAATTGACTAAACCCTTAACCAAACAGGGCGTGGCTCAAGCTTGATTTGACCCCGAAAAGTATCACTTTGAAACGGACATACATCGAGTACCTTGACGGCTAAACATAGTGGAGTTTCGTTCTGAACACCTTAAGCGAGACCAGAATCCTTGAGTTACACCTCTAAACGAGACGACTAGCATTCCCGACCTTTTCATATAGGAGCGTACCCGGGAATTGCGCCCAAAGATTTAAAATCGACCGAGCAACAGACAGTCAGAGGACCTACATTGATTTCTGTAGGGCGAAATTCTGTAGGGCAAATACAGTCGAACCTCCGGTTGCGACCACCTCTATTAAGCGATTACCTCTCCTTTGCGACCAGTTTTCCCAAATACCAAAAGTTTCCCAGTCAAATCACTATATTTAGAACCTCTTGTAAACGACCACCTCTCGTAAGCGATTACCTCTCCTTTGCGACCAGTTTTCCCAAATACCAAAAGTTTCCCAGTCAGATCACTATATTTAGAACCTCTTGTAAGCGACCACCTCTCGTAAGCGATTACCTCTCCTTTGCGACCAGTTTTCCAGAATACCAAAAGTTTCTCAGTGAAATAACTATATTTGGAACCTCTTGTGAACGACCACCTCTAGTAAGCGACAACCTCTAGTAAGCGACCACCTCTGCTTTGCGACCAGTTTTCCAAAATACCAAAAGTTTCCCAGTCAGATCACTTTTGTAAGCGACCACCTCTCGTAAGCGACCGAGTCCTTTTTTTAAAGCTAAAACTTTGAAATCTCATTTTGTTTTTTGTTTTTTTAACTCCCATGAGCGAACACTCTACAGATGATAGAAAGGAAATTGGATAATAAGGTGTTGTCAAGAGTAATATTATCGTATTCCGAGGTAGTACAAGAGACGGAAATTTCTCAGTGGGAAGAACCGGATTTTGTTCTCGAAATTGAGTTTTCACGTGAATAAAACATTGCATCGGCATTGGCGCACGGGGTAAGTCTCTGCAGTAACCATATTCCTATAAGGCAAAATTTTTACCCAATATGGTCTAAACCCTCGTAAGCGATCGACCGCCTCCGGTAAGAGATCACCTAGACTTGACATTTTGAGTGGTCGCGTACGGGAGCGTTCGACTGTATTTTGGTACAATATCAGACATCTCTGTTAAGCGGGGAAAATTATTTTGGACAAGCGAAAATAATGTGTGAAATGTCATGACTTTTGCAGCTCCAATGATTAATCCTGATGAATGCAGAGTCCTTCATAAAGTGACAATACCAAGCAAGGAAAAACCGATTGGCTTTCTCCTGAATAGAAAGTGTTTTTACGAAGACCGCTGTGGAAGGAAAACAAACAATACTCAAGGCAATAGATTTATCTGTTATTGGTATTTTCATATTCATGATCTCCTTGTAAGACATTCGATATATACTAGTTTTTCAACGCTTTTTGTTATACCGTGGAATATCCCACGAGTCACTTAAGTGACAAGTGGGTTATTCCATGGTATACAACGAGAAAGCGTACGTCGCATAGCCGTATTTTATACCATTATTTTTTTAAGAATCTTAATGATTCCTTTCCCTAGTTCTGGATAAGCCTTGCAACTTTAGTAACTGGTTCAAGTGTTCCAACAAATTGTGTGTCCCGGATTACTGGCGATGTGACGGCAAAGATGACTGTGGGGACAGGAGCGATGGTAAGTGTTTCAGTTCTATCTTCCTATCTATCCATCCATCCTCTTTCTTGTTCTCTACCCTGTCGTCTATGTGTCTGTGTGTCTTTCCGTCATTTTTCCGTACTTTCGCTCATCTTGCCGTCTGTCTATCCATCTCCTTGTCTGTCCGTCTGTTTGTCCATCCATCCATGCGACTGCCTGTCTGTTTTTCCATTCATCCATCTTCCTGTCTGTATGTTTGTCCATCCGGCCACCCGTCTGTCTGTTTTTCCATCTGTTTGTTTGTCTGTCTGTGTGTGTCTGCTTGTCTGTCTGTCTTCTTGTCCATCCGTCCAATCATTTGTCTGCCTGTCTGCCTATCGTTTGGACTTCTCATCCATCCATGCATCTAATAATTTTGCTCAGCAGTCTCCTTACAGATACATTTTGATCGCTTTTTTTTTCTCCAACAGAACTTAACGGCTGTTCTTACACCGTACAAGGTAAGTTTCAATTTAGCATGCTTTATCATTGTAAATGGACGAATTATACGCATGTGATAAATAAAGCTCCATTCAACTGCAGATCGCCTCAGTTGGCAGGAACCCAAAGCCAAGAAAACTTTTTTCTTTTGTATCATTGTATGTGGTATTTCAAAAAAAAAATACAAATCATCGTTAGTCAGGCGAAGAGAAGGGCTTTTCCACATCTTCGACTGTATCATTCAAGAAATGATAGTTGAATAATCGTTTAAATAGCCACCTGCATAGACATTTTTTTGGTTCATCAAGCTCTCCTTCTCAACGAACTTTGAGAAAGGCTGCACGACGAGCTAAAAGAATGTCTGTGAAGAGGCTATACGTAATTCCGTCTTTTCTAATTTTAGCTTGCAGCTGGACCAGCCACTGTGTTACAGGAGGCTGGGAAGCCTCTCTTGGCGATGAGCGACCGCTTAAGGTGGAGTCCCCTGCAATATGTTTAAGGAAAGACCTCACGGGCATACCAACTTATCTGCCTGTCAAGATCACAAAGTTGTAAGTTACTGCTAGACAAGGTAGCATTTCATGTAAAATATAAATTAATAATAAAGTGTATTATCGTTTGTCTCACGACGTAGTCACTTGAAATGTAGATCACGACGTTTCGACTGCTTACTGCTAGTCTTCTTCAGGCGATAAGGTCGACTGATTGCACGGTATCATTTATATCACAAAGGTCGGCTGTG